ATCACCTTATTAACATTGAAATTATGAATCTCGAATTGTCATAAAAAGAGGTTGTTTTATATATCAAGTGTTAAAAATTAACTAAAAAAATAAATTATGTGTAAGACATTCTATATATAACATACATAATTTATGGATGTACATTCATGAAGTGAAGTTATTATGCATTAGTAGATATTGGTAAAAAAATAAGTTGAATAAAGTAGATAAAAAAGAACTTGAGTTTGGTAAAAAAAAAAAAAAAAAAAAAAAAAAAAGAATAGATTGATTAAAAAAAAAGGAAACATATCTTATTATACAGTATTAGATTTTAGATTTTTTTTGGGGGGAGGAAATTGCTATAAATAATACAACCTTTGAGCAGTTGAAATTAAACAAGATAATTTTATTTTATTTTATTTTATTTCTTAATATTACAACCTTTGGCGGTCTAAATTTTAAATAAGTTAAAACCAAATATAACTTGGTAAACTGGTTTCTCATGACATGTATGTGTTGCTCTATGATTTGTTTTTAAAAATATTTAATTTTTTTCCTTTTCTCTCTCCACCCCTCCAACACCACCAATGCTCCACCTCCGGCAACCTCCTTACTCTATCCGGCCCACCACTACATGAAATTCCACCCCTCCCCCCGCCCTACCACCAAAACTAAACTGCTCCTTTTTTTCCACCTCGAAACCCACCCCCTCCCCCCCCCAAAATCGCCCCCTCAAAAACCATTACCCTCTCCTTCCCCCGCCACGAAAACCATCACCCTTCTCTTCCCTAGCCTCAAAAACAGCCACCCTCCCCTTCACTAGCCTCGGAAACCACCACCCTCCCCATCCCTAGCCTCGAAAACCACAACCCTCCCCTTCCCCAACCCAGAAAACCGCTATCCCCTTGCATTTATGGTGTTTAGCGGGGGAGGAGATTGAGTTTGCGGACTTGCAGTTGTAACACCGTAGAAATTCCCCCCTTTGAAATACTTTTTTATCATTTTAAAATACGAAATAGGAAATAATTAAGACATTACCGCCACCGTAACGACTAATGCATTTCTCAAAGATTCACAATGAAAATTATTTTCAAAACCTTTCAAAGAAAAGTCAAAGTCCAATAGTCAAACCAAACGACATTAAAATCAAAATCAAATTCAAACGAAATCAAACATGTTTAGGGGTAAAAATACCCCTGGCAAATGGGTCTATGCTAAAGCGACACGTGTCCTTAAGCCCATCAAGCTCCTCTCCCAAATCTCTATAAATACAAATCATTTGCATCAGTTGTAGAGGATCACAAAAATTTTAGAGAGAGAGATTCGTTCACATCGAATTCACATTGGATTCATGATGAATACTCCTCCAATCCTCAAATCAGAGAGTGAAACACTCAGATTTCGAGGTTGCTTCAGGCAGCCGAAAAACACATTTACATTCCGTAATATACTCCTTACTCACGTTCTAACTTGATCGTCGGAGGCGGAACTCCCATGGGAGTTTCGTTGTTTTGCAGGTACAGACAGCCGGAGGTCAGTCTAGGTGTTGTAACTCTCCCGCAGGACACATAAAAAACCCCGAAACATTTGGCGCCGTCTGTGGGGATTATACCGTAAAACGGCTGTGCCTACATGAGTGAAACCAAGAATAAGCAGATGCCTCTTCACTTCGAACGCATGCTAGCAGCTACATGAATACGACACCAAAAAAATCGTTAACCTGCTGCCATGATTTAAGTAAATCATTATCATAATTGTTTATTATGATTTAAGTATATCACTTTCATAATTTTTTATTATTAATGTAATGCGGCATCAAATCATGTACTACTATATCATTATTATGATTTGTTATTAAGATTAAAATAATGATTTATCAAATCATTATTACAAAAAAAAAAAAAAAAAATGAGTACCGGCTGTATATATATACACCCGAGTCATGCACCGACCGGATGAGTGGCACTTGTCTTGCTCCCATAAAAGCCGGCTGTATGTCTATGGGCTGAAGCCGAGCAAAATTGGGTTAGGGCCTTGCCGGCTGAATCAGCCGTCTGGGGTGTCATCAAGCAAAGCTTCAGGGTGCCGCCTGGGTACCTAGCAAGCGGCTGAGTGACTTCCGTCTGGGGTGTCATCAAGCAAAGCTTCAAGGTGCCGCCTGGGTACCTAGCAAGCAGCTGGATGACTTCCGTCTGGGGTATCATCAAGCAAGGCTTCAGGGTGCCGCCTGGGTACCTAGCAAGCAGCTGAGTGACTTCCGTCTGGGGTGTCATCAAGCAAAGCTTCAGGGTGCCGCCTGGGTACCTAGGGAGCAGCTGGCGTGGAAACCTGTCTGTATCATCTGAGATCAAAAATGTTTCTTGAGCTCAGTTGCTCGGCGTCCCATGGTCGTCTAACGCCCTCAGGGGCTCGGTATCATAAATCAGCAAGAGGCATCTCAATATCTTCCAGCATATTGACGAAAATCCTCCATCAGAAGGTACCATCCTTATTATTTGATTTTCAAAATCGCCTTCTGAGTAGGTGTAAGCTAAATGCTTTATTTCCATTATAATTTGCAATGTCCCGGCCGGGCAACCATCTGTTTTACATAAATTATAATGGAAATAGTCCCGTCTGTGCAATGTGCAGTCGGGCACCCATCTGTTTTACATAAATTATAATGGAAATAGTCCCGTCTGTGCAATGTGCAGTTGGGCACCATCTGTTTTACATAAATTATAATGGAAATAGTCCCGTCTGTGCAATGTGCAGTCGGGTACCCAACCGTTTTACATAAATTGTAAAACAGCAAAGTCCCGTCTGTGCAATGCACAGCCGGGTAGCCGGTTGCTATTAAAAAGCAGACGGTGTTTTCTATCTATTGTGTCCAATTCCCCTGTATGAAACATACATTTGGGCCGACGTTTTCAATTATGCAAAGCACAGCCGGATACCCATCCGATCATTAAAAGTCCCTTGCGTAATACGCATCCGGGCACCCATCTAAGTAATACTTAGATTTTTAAAATTAACCGTCTATCCAAAAAGGCAGACATCCGACGACTTGAATTTGGCTTCAATCGTCGAAGAGAACATCTCCCTTCTGGGTGGCACATTGTTCTAGCGATCATAACTCAACGCCAGTTGAATGATCCGTGGAATTCAAGATACAAACGTCTATTACGCAAAGGTAATACAAATGGCGTCTAAAATCTTGAAGCCCCAAAAGTAGCCGGCTTTCAAGGAAAAGCCCTGCAGGAGCAAGCGCATAATTTGCCCAACTATTTTAAACCGTCTATCCAAAAAGGCAGACAACCGGCGACTTGCATTTGGCTGCAATCGTCGAAGAGAACATCTCCCTTTCGGGTGGTACATTGTTCTATCGATCAAAGAGGCCAATGGCCAGATAACATTGAGCGCTTACCCCCCTGCTCGAGGGTCGACAGTACGCCTGGTCTAGGGCTGTCAGCGGGGCTAAAAGCAATAAGGGTCGACATCAGTCTAGTTCAGTGGCAATCATTATTATGATTTGATTTACTTTGAAAATATCATACCGATCAAGGTATCAAAATTTTCCAAGTTAACCAAATCCCTCTTTCATTGAACTAGACCGATGCCGACCAAAGAGGCTCAAGGAGTCTCGTTTTCAAAAGCAGCAATCCCTCTTGCAAGAGAGATTACTCCTTCCGAGGGGCTAATGTTTAGGGGTAAAAATACCCCTGACAGATGGGTCTATGCTAAAGCGACACGTGTCCTTAAGCCCATCAAGCTCCTCTCCCAAATCTCTATAAATACAAATTATTTGCATCAGTTGCAGAGGATCACAAAAATTTTAGAGAGAAAGATTCGTTCACATCGAATTCACATTGGATTCATGATGAATACTCCTCCAATCCTCAAATCAGAGAGTGAAACACTCAGATTTCGAGGTTGCCTCAGGTAGCCGGAAAACACATTTACATTCCACAATATACTCCTTACTCACGTTCTAACTTGATCGTCGGAGGCGGAACTCCCATGGGAGTTTCGGTTTTTTGCAGGTACAGACAGCCGGAGGTCAGTCTAGGTGTTGTAACTCTCCCGCAGGACACATAAAAAACCCTGAAACAAAACCTACAACTTGTATAATATTTATAACCAATGTGTTAGTCTCAACCAATGTGTTAGTCTTAACAACCCATAGATCTCCTGCGTATAATAAAAAGGAAAGTATATCGTCCTGTACCCCCTGTAGAAGCTTTGGTTAAATATAAAACCCCATAACCCCCCATATGTTCATTCTCAAGGTGTATATGTTCCAAGAGTTTTGGTTCGTAATCTCTTTCACTATACGTTAATTATATTTTAGACTTGGTGATGAATCTCAATCAATTAAACAACCAATCAACATGAATCATTCAAGCAATCAAACAATCCAATTTGATTCTTGAATAATTAGTGACCACATTTATTTAATGTTGAACCCCTTTTAAACTATCTCGGTGTAAATTCTTACTACAATGTTGTTTAACATTTATAATTTGAAGGTAAAATGTGTAGCAACATTATATGTACACTATAAATGCATCTTCGTCAGCCTGTCATCTCCTATGAAAATTGGGAGCACATCGTCACAATCACTTAAGCTTGCATTACATTTGTGCAAAAGATGCAAGAATTTCAGCAAAACATTTCACAATGCAGAATTGCAGAATATTTTCCTATACAAAAGGGGCCTGAGTAAGGCAGCTTAGGCGGGGGGCAAGGGCGAAAAGATAGAAAAAAGCAGCAAAGTGAAAGAGGTGAAACTACCAAGGGATTCAAGCAGAAATTCAACTGCTTTTCCCTATCCCAATCAATAACAAGACAAAACTATTCTTGTCGACCTAAATAATTAAACGTATTGAAAACCCTTAACACTAATCAACTTTTTCATGTACAGTTCGTATCGTATTGTCGTGTCATATAAGCTTTTATCCGCTCTACTCGTGATAACGTGATAGGACTGATTGGGCCTCTATAAAAACAAATCCCTTGCCGGGCTTTACCAAAAACAAATCCCTTGCCGGGCTTTACCAAAAACAAAATCAACTCCATTCCCACATTCCCATTTCCATTCATATCATTTGTTCCAGTTCTACACACCCCTTCACAAATCACAGCAACTCAAAGCAACAAGAAGAGAGAGAAAGAGAGAAAAATGGGTAGGAAGAGCTTCAAGGTAGAGTTCGATGAATCCCCACCAGATGACTTCGATCCAGCAAACCCATACAAAGACCCTGTTGCAATGCTCGAAATGCGCGAGCATTTGGTTCGTGAGAAATGGATCGACATTGAAACTGCCAAGATTCTTCGGGATAAACTCAGGTGGTGTTACCGGATTGAGGGTGTTAACCACCTTCAAAAGTGTCGTCACCTTGTCAATCAATATCTTGAGGCCACCCGCGGCGTCGGCTGGAACAAGGATCATCGCCCTCACTCCCTCCATGGTTTCTATTCTTCTGCTAATTTTCATTCATTCAATTGATTCATTTTTGTGTATATGTTAGATTTATTTTGAAATTGGTTTTGTTTTGAATCAGGTCCTAAAGTGGAATCTGTTGAGGCTGAATGATTTTGACTTGTTCTTGCATTATTTTGAGGTAATAATTCTAACCCCTTTTGTTTAGGTTATATGGGATTCACTTTTAGGTATTCTAAATTGAAATTGGGTATTTATATGCAAAATTAATAACTTGTTTAAAACAAATGGAGTTGTTTATTTGATGGGTTGTTTTCGTATTCGTGGCGGTTGTTCTTGTATTGGATGATTTGGATCATTGTACTACATGCTGGTTTTTCTGTAACTTGATTTTGCTGGTGTTGATGTTTGTAGTTGGGAATAGGATAGAAAGAGGATTAGAACTTTTAGATATATCCATTGATGCATTTCTCTTATTCAATGTGTCCTAATTATGGGTTGCGTCAGTAGTTAGCTTTGAATTTGGAAGACATGGCAAGTGCGCATGATTAGTTTATTGAATTCATACCTTTCAAGTGACTTAGGTTGAGTAGCTTTTGCATATCTTAGATGGAATTAAGATTATTTTTCCATGAGTTTTGCTGTAAAGACTAGTCTTTTTGAAGAGATTCATATTGCCCACAGCATTTAAATTTTGTGCCTTCGATTTAGTTGATTGAAGAATGGTTGAATCTGTTGAAACTAAGGCTGATATGTTTGCTTTAGAAATTGTCGTCTGGCGAGGTAACAGGGTGGTGACTTATGGGACACTACTATAGACAAATAGTGCCCTCTGAATATTAATTCGTTGAATATGAAAATGTGTTGCTCAATGGTGGTGTGGAGAGAATAAAGAACAATGCACTGTGCTCCTGGAAGCTATGTATCTCTCTAATCCTCTATTGCCAAGTCAAAGTTATTGTGGTCGAGTTTTCCCTGAACAAATATTACACCTATTGCACCACTGCTGCTTAATGAATTGATTGAAGGGTATGGTTGTGTTCATATGATAAAGTTCCGTGGGTTTGAAATACTTTCGCAATCTTCCCATTTGAATTTCAAGGGTAATTTGTGAGTTTAGCCTAAGGTGACTTAGTTTTATGTTTCTCGAATTTTTATATAAAAGTTTTAAATTGAAGTTTGGTGAAGCACGAGCTCTCCAGTTCTTGTTGAATGTTTACATGGTGGCTCATAAGATTGTATCTGAGTGCTCAGGTCTTGCAAGGTTCCTTTAATGTCTAAACCTAAGCGTTAGGCTGGTGAGAAATATTTGACACCAATGCCAAAGCTTTTATATGGTTTTCTAATTTTTTTAAAGGATCAAACTGAAGTATTCTTATTCATTTGAGGTCTTGGATGTGTTAGGTGTGGATGAGGATAAATGTTTGGAATGTGTTGAGAATTAGTGGAGGACTATAAGATGAAGTAATATAATAGCGAATCACAATACAGATGGTGATAAGCAACGTCTTTTTGCTCAATTCTTTTGGGCATTTGGGGGATTAGTTGAATTTGACTTTATAATTTGATTTAAGGCATGTACCTAATGGAATTTTGGTATTCATTGATTCGGGTTTCTTTGGAAGTTATGATTAGAGAGTTTGCATTATATGGCATAGCATATTCTGAATCCTGCATTGGTAATTAGTGATTCGATAAAAAAACTGCACAGAAACCAAAATTATTGAGTGATTTTTGTACACTCTTGTGCAGTGTGCGAAGTGAGGTGAACTGTCTCAGTTTTGCTTTGAAAATCTTCCAGTCTTTAGAATGGCATCTATTTTGATTCATGATCATAGAAGAAAAGTAGATATGGCTTGTAATTTTAATATGGACATAGATGAAGAGTAGATATGTATCATGTATTGGGTGAACTGACGTATTTGCTATTGTCAGCCACATGTTTCTTTGAGGAATTTTGCAAATTTTGCATCTTTATTTTAATATTGAATTAATTAGCCGTTTAGCACTGATGTTACTTGGAACGGCACTGGCATGGAGGCATGATATTGGCTTGAAAATTTCCAATTTTTTTTTAAGTTACGAGGACAATATTAATTTGTATCTTAAGTTAAGACATGGACATGCTTACATATAAATTTAAGAATAGATGATAGTTTTTTATATGAATTTATCAATGTTTTAAAGAGTTGAATAATAACAGAGATGAATAATACCTGTTAAAAACAATGCTTTTCACTATCTAACCTACCCGTAATTTTGACTGTGATTACCCTCACCCTTCTTTTCTTCTCTTCCTCCCTACGCTTCTTGTTTGTGGTTCTATAGTACCATAACATTATTTTCTAAATACTCCTTCCTATCTTTTTCTGCTGAAGGCCATTCATTTGACCAGGCCTTAATTTATAGATACCTCCATTAGGATTGTCTCACTCAAAGAATATGTTGCCCCAATTTTATCTTCAATCTTCCTGTCAATTATTGGCTCCAAATTTGGCTTTCAAATATGTGTCCTAGTTCTAAAAAATCTGTTTTTTTAGTTGCTTTGTTACTTGAATTCTTCAGAAGTGCTGGATTGCTTAGAAGTATTTAAAATATAAGCGTCTTTTGTATGTTTTCTTAAGATATTTCAAATATCACTCACAAGTGTGCTTCTCCGTCAGGTATGCATGTAAAAGACTAGTTTAAAAAAATTTATTATGCAATAGTGGAAAGAAGATTAATCTGATTTTTCAATCATGGCCATTGCTTGCCAACCCCTTCACCCTAGTTTTGGGCGTATGTTGTGTCCAAATCCAGGTCATTTCATGTAATAAATTAACTTTAGGAGGGGCACTTTGGGAAGTTTAGTATTATTAGGTTAGAGTCTTTAGCTTTAGTATAAATAGATAGAGGAGAGAAAGGCAAAGGCAGGCAGAAATTTGTATTGAGGGAAACCTTAGAGAGTCATGGCCTAAAGCCATTTTTGGAGAGTTGTGAGCTAAACTCACTATTGAAGATTGATAGCCTTAAGCTATTAACCTATCCTTTTGTAACCTTTTGTCCATCATCAATCAAAATCCAAGTTTTAATCTTTATTTACTTGCACTATTAAATTAGAATTATAAACCCAGAAAATCAGTTCATCACACAAACATGTACAGTAGGCCTTGGTCATTGTCTGAACATCATAGGTTATTATCACTGAACCTTCGGCTAGCTTTTCTGAACATCATAGGTTATTAGCACTGAACCATTGGCTAGCTTTTCTTAGAATATTGTTGCACCAACTTGGCATGATATACTTCGGATTATGATTTTGTGTGGTTATGTTGGCTAATCCGAATATAAATATGGGTGTAAATTTATTTTGTGGAGTCCTCAAATCCGAATATAAATATGTGTGGAATTCATAAGTTCGACTTTTGGCAAGCATGTGGTGTCTTTTTTTTTCCCGCTTCTCATTATTCTTTCATTCTTTCTCAAGTAGAAATAAATTAGGGTGCATTTGGTTTGGGCCTTTGGGGTCTTCAAGAAAGGCTAAGGGAATCAAAAGGGCTCTTTCCTTTGTTGCTCTTTGTTAAGACAATTTAATCATTTTCTTTACCCTCTCCATTCCCCTAGTCTCCTCTACCCTCATTGCCCATCCACCCCCCCCCCCCCCCAAAAGGTTTTTCCATTCCCTTCCTTCAAACCTCTTATACTGCAACAGGCACCACCACAACCTGACCACGACCACCACCCACAACTTGACCACCACCAATACCAACAATCCGACTACCACCACAACCACCATTGTCCTACTGCCGGTCCCACTACCACTGTCAGTTACTCACCATGAAACCCACCCACCAACCAGAAATATCCAACACCCACAAAAATCAACCCAAATACCACAAAACTACCTGCCCAAACACCAAGAAAATGCAAACGCCAACACGGTAGCCACCAAAAACTACGTGCACTATACCCAAAAAAGAACGACAAAAACAAAATTGACCACAAGATTGAAGGTGGTCAAATTAATGGTCGAATAGGATTGGTGGTGAGGAAAACAATCAATTAAAGGCTGTGTGGCGCCGGTGGTGAGGGAAGCAAATGGTTGAACAAGGAAGAGAGCAAAAAGATGGTAAGGGGAGGAGGAAACTAGGAGAGACGGTGGTGGGTAGCTAAGCAAGGAAGATAAATTGTAATATTTTGTGACCTTTGTGTTTTGTGAAACACATGACTAAACAACATACTACGTCAAAGGGATTTACATTCATTTCCTTGGGTTTTTGGTCAAGCAAAATAGAAGAGAGAGCAACACAGGAAGTTGGTGGATTAGTAGATTGTTTTTTTTATCTTTCCTGTTTGTTCTTTAGTCAAATGAAAATAGAATATGGAGGGAGGCAGAAGATGGATTCATTATATTATATGAAGTATTAAATAGATTAATTACACAGAACATGGTCATTGACATGAAACAATAGAACAGTTTTGAGTGAACAAAAGTTTCATTGACATGTTATTAATCTCTGAGTTTTTACTGGAGTAAGATCCAAACAATACTTCCTCCATCCCGCATTACTTTAAACACTTGTCATTGGCACATAATTTTAGGTAATAAGTTTTTGTGTTATTAATTTTTATTTATTGTATGAATATATGTGAAACAAGATGCTCAGGTTATATCATTTGATACTTTGTATACAGAAGATGAGAAGGTAGTATATATGATATAAGATAGTGGGCCATTTTAATAGAATGTGTTTGTGTGTGTGTGTGTGTGTGTGAGAGAGAGAGAGAGAGAGAGAGAGAGAGAGAGAGAGAGAGAGAGAGAGAGAGAGAGAGAGAGAGAGAGAGAGAGAGAGAGAGAGAGAGAGAGAGAGAGAGAGAGAGAGAGAGAGAGAGAGAGAGAGAGAGAGAGAGAGAGAGAGAGAGGAGAGAGAAGAGAGAGAGAGAGAGAGAGAGAGAGAGAGAGAGAGAGAGAGAGAGAGAGAGAGAGAGAGAGAGAGAGAGAGAGAGAGAGAGAGAGAGAGAGAGAGAGAGAGAGAGAGAGAGAGAGAGAGAGAGAGAGAGAGAGAGAGAGAGAGAGAGAGAGAGAGAGAGAGAGAGAGAGAGAGAGAGAGAGAGAGAGAGAGAGAGAGAGAGAGAGAGAGAGAGAGAGAGAGAGAGAGAGAGAGAGAGAGAGAGAGAGAGAGAGAGAGAGAGAGAGAGAGAGAGAGAGAGAGAGAGAGAGAGAGAGAGAGAGAGAGAGAGAGAGAGAGAGAGAGAGAGAGAGAGAGAGAGAGAGAGAGGAGAGAGAGAGAGAGAGAGAGAGAGAGAGAGAGAGAGAGAGAGAGAGAGAGAGAGAGAGAGAGAGAGAGAGAGAGAGAGGAGAGAGAGAGAGAGAGAGAGAGAGAGAGAGAGAGAGAGAGAGAGAGAGAGAGAGAGAGAGAGAGAGAGAGAGAGAGAGGGTAATACTAATTTGGGTGGAGTAATAGGAAGACACATATGCAATTTTACTGCCTTGGTTCTGTTGCTGTTCAAGGTCCACCTGCTTTTCATTTTAATGGCCAGCTGGATTAGAATCCTTACTCCACACTGGAGGAATTGCCTCTGTCCATAATTATAGGCCATAATTTTAATTTTTAATTTCGTCACAAAAGAATAGACCCAATTACTATTAGCTTAGTAAGTCAAACACCCATAGTGATACTGTTGTAAGCTATGTTACTCATACATGGGTATATATCCAAGTATCTAATACATCAAGGTTGATAATTTTAAGGCAAATGAAAACTGTCCTAAAATCAGACATGGGTACAGAGGCAGGGCATGAATGTTAAACATTCCAGTTTTTAAAAGACATTTTGCATACAAATACATTTGCACACATTTTAGGCATACTTTTTTATATGATTGAAATGATTATTTGAAGTCCCTTTGTGAGTAGTTGAGAACATATTGCACATGTTCTTCTTTTCGTTTTATATTTACATATTGAGCAAGGATTATCCTTGTCACTTTGTCAGAGTGTTCAGTCTTGAGTGTTTTCGAATGACAAAATGAAGAGTCGAAGTAACATAACCTGTAAAATTCCCAAGGAAAACTATAGATGTAAGGCGGGGATGTGAAATGTTAAAGATTAATCTATTGAAGGATATTATGGTAATTTTGCTAGATTCCTTGAGAATGAGTGAGTGACTCCAAATCAAATGTAGCTTATCATTTAGGAACGAAACTAATTTTTATTTTTATTTTATTTATTTTGTTTACAGAAACATTAAGGTTTGATGTGACTAAAGGATATATATATAGCAGCGCATATGCACGTGTATGTGAGTTTGTGTTCTTTTTCCAGCTTGCTTACTTTTACCATCTGCTGTTCTGCTAACCTTGTTTTGTCTAGGTTCTGATTGTGTTATTATTTTAATTTTTTCAATTTTTTTTAATGTCTATCATGCTCTTAGGGGTTTCCTCATTCAAGTACCCCTCATCGTGTTAGTAATGTAGAACCCAGAAATCGTAAGCTATTCCTTGATGCAGAGGTTTATAAATAATTTAGGAAATAGTTTGCTGTTTAACGTGTGCTTAATCTTACAAACATTTTGTTGTTAGAACCATAATATCTGCTATAGAGATCACATATTGTTACATGTTGGAATTAGTATCTTAAAAGATATCTGTATTTTGTTTGCAGATCACTAAACCTGGTACAATGCTGGTGGAGTAAAGAATGTATTGGTATTATACTGCTGGCCTGTTGAAATTGTGCCATGACATTTGCTGTGTAGTTTATTTCATCTTGTTCTCACTCTTTAAAAGTTGTGTAGATCTTGATGGATTTTACTTTTGGAATAAATTGTTGTGTTACCTGGCTTTGAGCTATATTGGATCGCCTTGCTGTATGTTATCATGCTTTATATTGCTTACTCTGCAGAGTCGGAGACTTCGATTTCTCTCTTTCATGTAATTAGCTGCATCTCTTAATCTTAGGCATGCGAATCAAATTGGTTTAAAGTTTCAGTGATGTTAATATTGCTTTATCACAAATTTTCTGAAAGCTATCTTAAGAAAAACCAGATATTGTCATAATCAACTAATTCAGGCAAGAACTGTGAACTTTATTCTATCTTGCTCATTGCAAGTTTCTGATCACATTGAACCCCAATTTGAAGGAGGTGAAAATAGAAAGGGTAAAAAAAAAAATGAAAACAAAGAATTGACAGTCTATTGTTTCGATTTTTAGTTCCTAGTCTTCATGTGATACAATAAGTGCAGAAAAGGATGACCTTGTAGTACCTCAGTGGTTGATTCTTCCTGAAAAAATCATGAAAGAGAAAGAATAAGTTGGTATGTGATGAAGCATGATAGTGAAAGAACATGCATGAACATATGAATATCATATATGTATGCTATAGTACAATATTATCATTTTGATGTGAAATGAATGACAGAAGATGAAATGAATGGATGGAGCTCCCTTCAGTCCAATGAGCGAGCGAAGCAAGTGGAAGGAGTTGCTCCCAACCCATGCACCAGGGCTAATTTACTTGCATTTCGTCTCCGTAATCAAAACAAAACCCATAATCCTACTCGAGCTTCACCTTCTTCCGGTTATCCATCATCGTAGTCGCAAAGAATGCAAGTAAATGGCCAGAAATGCATGAAATGGCAGCTCTTTACCACTTCTCAGCCCTCTCTATTGGACTTGAAGGGAGCTCCTCTATCTCTCTTTCTCTCCTTTAGATAATGGTATGTTTTTTAGTTCAACTCCCAATTTTATAACAAGTTTCCTTTATATAGAAGACTCTTAAGTGAGTGATTAGCAAACTGAGTGTTATTAAGAGGTACAGAATCTACTGTGAGATTCATAGGATATTAGGATGTTTGCAGGTTGGGAATCTTGTCGGAGTATTCAGTAATCTTTTTCCCTTTCCAAGGTTTGTTGTTTTTCGTTTTGAATTCTTTTGGAATTGAATATCATATATTTTGAGTTTGACCTGACCTTCTGAATCAATAGTATGGATGAACTGTTGAGGGGTTAGCTTTATGTCAATTCTACTGTTTCATTTTATGGATGTTTTTGTTGCTTGTGCTTCAGATGAATGCCTTGAATCATGATGCTATGTACGAAGTTTGAAAAGTAAAATTCGTGAAATAAGTTGGAATATTTTCTTGGGAAACAGAGATGTTTGTCATTTTTCTCATGAGCCCGTGGTTGTAGGTTCAGGTATGAAGTTAAACCTGCAATTAGGTCGATCAATTTGGGTCGAGCCATTTTGGGTCCGGTTTACTGAAGCACCCTAATAATTCTCTTTAATCCTATAAATACCTTTAATAAAATGCAAGAGAATTACTGACGTGCTACCGCCACGTGTTCAAACGTTAAGGCTAATTCAGAATTTAAAAGCGGAAAAAAACTAACTCAGTTATAAATAAGTTCCAAAACCAACGAACAAAACCAAATTAAGTCTTACAAGTTAGAACCATTAAGACCCTTATTCAAAACTCAATAAATAAAGTATTAGTAAATGAAACTAGAGTGTAATTAAATTCAAACTTATGAAAAGAAATAAACTGCGAACAATAACCAACACTCCACTCAAAATCCCATCATCTTGATGCAAATCCAAATTATGTAAACACCTGTGATAAGTCTGCTCCCCAATATTACAAGTGTAAAGATTGGATCATTACAGAGTCATTGAAAGGCGAAGGCCATGACCAAGAAAAGACACACAAAAGCACACAATCAGCAACGCTGAGTACATATAAGCTACAAGATGTAACAAAGAATTCCTAGCATGCTTCTAATTACCAATCAACACACAACAATTTAATTATTGACTCAAACACATGACTCAACTGTTAACATTACTAAGACTTCACTAATTAATACTGATCATTTCACTTCACTTTATTCATTGAATTAAGCAAATGACAAGGTTGTCTCCCCATGCTCCAATTTGGAATATTAATATAAGAAAAACCCCATGCCACCTTGCGGAAACATCAATAAATATCCAATGGCAGACGGGCGCGACTCCGTGGCCCATAGCTAGTATGAGATCTCACCTAACTCCTTATAGTTTTAAAAAATATTTGAAAACAAGAAACTCGTCGATCAGACGGCCTCTAGAAAAGTGCACAGCTAATACCCCGTGTACCCCAACCCCTGATTGTCAATAGTCTAGATGTGCACAAATCCAGAGTTTTATTGCTCATTCATCTTGCACTTTACGTGATTTACAAGTTTAAACTTGGTGATGACTCAAATGCAAAACAATTCAACCAATTAAACCATTAATCATTCAAGCGATTCAAGTTTCCAATTCAATTCTTGATTTATTAGTGATAAACAATATTTATTATTGAATCCTTTAACTACCTCGGTGTATAAACACCTTAAGTGCATAAGGCACCTCAAATCCTCAACCTCATCTTATAAGACTTTAATTCTGCCTTTACTCATTCTATTTCAATAAATATGAACGAGTAATAAAAATAATTCATTCCACACATTTACGTACCTTTGCCTCTTAGCTCATCTTGCAAGTTAATGCATAAATAATACATACAAAATAAATCAATACGCATTTCTCATACATGAAACAAAACCAATCATCACATTAATCACCAATCAAACTTACTACCATACAATTCCAACCAATCCACAAGTTTCCTAACATGATTCTAAATTTTCCAAGTCCTTAAACATGCTCCTAAAGTCAAGGTTCTTCGTATTCCTTGTACGTACCTTGAGTAAACGAATTGGTATGCCACTTTACTAACTAGAAATCACCTTCTATAAAGTCCTCTCCAATAAGATCTCAATCAATACCCAAACAATCAAATTTACAGCTTTACAAATTTACTTTAAAAATCCATTCAAACAACACTATAAAACATTCCCTTTAGTTAAAACCAAAGACTTATATATTTAGTTCTTTAAGTTTCCTTCACAAAAACCTTAAAATACACCCTTATATATTGAAACCGAGCGTCACAGCAAGTAGAATTTAGAATTTGACGAGACGTAGAATCAAGCAAGCGATAAGTACGAGCTAAGCCCTACCACCGCATTGGCCTAGCCATGCGAGTGCTAGGCTAGGCGAGGTCCCAAACCGCATGTGTGCTATCTTGCTAAGCATTGCCTAGCACTCGCGCATCGCACAACACAAGCATCGCAAGCTGCGTGCCATGCGTGTGTGTGCTGTGGCTATGCGTGCATGGTTGTGCGTGCTTGCTAGCATAGCAGCACCAGCTATCACAGCTATGCACGTGTGTACTGTGGCTGTGCGTGCTTGCTAACGTAGCAGTACTAAGCAGCAGTAGCAGGGCCTCACACCTCGCTAGCACACACAACGCCACAACAGCAGTAGCTCGCATTGCATGCGTGGCTTGCTTGCTTGCTGCGCACATGCGGTGTGCGAACTGGCAGCCAGCCCAGCCTTGGTGCTAGGTGCCAGCTGGGCAGCCTTGGCAGCCAGTCAATTGTGCAAAGGAGGTCATCTCATGGTGTTTGGAGGGGACCGATTTTAGGGGTTTACATGGGTAGCAAGTGTGGTATGGTCCCCCCTTCCTTCTTCCCTTAAATGGTCCTCACCTACCCTTGCTCACCATTTGCCACTTGGTGCTTGTTGATTCATTTTGCATTTTAATTTGTTTTTAGATTAAAATAAATTGGGAAAAATGCAATTCTCCCACATTGATAGGGAATGGGAAATCAAGGCTCCCTTCCCTATAAAGACCCATGTTTTGGGTTTGGGAAAAAACACTTAAATTGAACTCAATAAGGCATCTCATTATTAGTGAGTAAACCTTTAAGTTCGTAATACTCTAGTATTTTCTTAGTGTAGCCCGACTAACCTTCGGGGTAGAGATCGCTCGAGTCGGGTCGAGGGTGCGAGCCGTCAGAGGCCTGCGCACTTGTGAGGCTAGAGCTTTCAAGTAAGAGCTCGTAAGCGAGCGAAGCACGTGTCGAGGGTAAGAATGTCTTTTCTCTTTTTCTCTCTTTGTTACCTATATACAGTGTGCGGGTCTTGGGAGGGTTTCATTCCGCGTAGTGTTAGACGCTACGAAACCCAATAGATGCTTCCCGACTACAATGAAGGGCATTGCCCAATAATGGTTTGGCAACCTGCCAGCCGGCTGCATCAATAGCTTCAAGATGCTTGCGTACTTGTTTGCTTCTAACTTCTCTATGAACATCCCTGCTAAGAAAACAAGTCTTTACTTGGGTGTAATACAGCAGGGGAATAGAGAAGGGCTAAGGTCCTATATCAGGTGGTTCAATCTGATGAGAATTCAGATTTAAGGTTTGTCTGATGAAGTGGCTTATACAGACTTCTTTAAAGGTCTGAAGGACGGGTCGAACTTTAAGTTCGACCTCGTTGGAAATAGGGTTGTTACTCTCCAAGAAGCTCTGATGGAGGCGGAAACCTATATACAGGCAACTGAACTTTGCGTCATCAGTAAGCCGTCGGATCCCAAGAAGTCTGACAAAAAAGAGAATCGGCCTGCTCAGCCGGCTAAAAAAGAAGAGAACAAAAAGAGAAAAGAAATTTGGGTGGCAGATGATTCTGAACAGCCGTCCCAGAAGAAGAATAAAAAGTTTACACGTACGTTCCCAAGTACGAGTTTAACAAGGACTGCTACTCCATCCTCATGGAGATTGAAGACCGGGTGACAATTGAAAAACCGGCTGCAATGAAAGGTCCCGTCAAAAACCGGAACAAGAACAAGTATTGACATTTCCATGAGGACATTGGCCATGACACCAACGACTGCTATAGCCTTAAGCGGCTGTTGGACAAACTGGCTAATAAAGGGGTGTTGAAGTCCAAGGTAACCTTGAGGACGAACCAAGGACAGCCGCCCAAAAAGGCAGCCCAACCTGATCATAGTTCGGACACTGATGGAGAGCCGATCTATACAATAGCAGGCAGATTTTCTG